TTACAATCCGTTCAGTGGAGATGTTAGGAAATTGTAATTTTTTTTTTCTTTAAGTAACAAGATTATCTTATTGTGTAATATTACAAGACCAAATTATAATTCATTTTAATACAGTTTAATTGTAAATAATTATTCTAAATTTTAATAAATTAACACGTTACTTTTACTCATAAATCTTTTATTTCATATACTTGTTTTCAACAAATAAGAATTTTCTTACATTTACGCGATTAAAATAGTTTGCGTTTTATATTGCGTGCAGGAGTAGCTGGAACATTGGAACATTTTTCATGAAACATATCTGGCGATGTATTATATCGATTGAAAAAAAGCGGTCCGTCGTATTCGTCGGCTTGCTGTTAAAAAAAAAAAAACATATAATATAATTTTTCATAAAAATTATGCTATTAATTACCATAGTTTGAGGTGGATCAGGCGAAGCCGTATAGTGCGGCGGTGAAAGAAATAGCGTGGAAACTCCTGTATCTTGATCAGCGTATGCCTAAAAAAAGAATATATATAATAATTATAAAAATAATATATAATTGCAAGAAGAAATATTTTTTTTTATTGACTTACCAAATCATTTTCCAGTTTATCAAGGATATTGTCTGCTAACTGCTTACTTGCCAGTACTTTTAACTGACTTATAAAACTAGGTTCTTCGTCAGCAATATCGCATTTGATTAACTCGTCTCCAATATTTCTTATTTTAATAGTCATATCTTCTACGGTAATGGGTTGATTGAATATCTTTTACATACATTTTGTCATTTTATTAAACTGTTGAATCACTATAGGTAGAGTATATTTTTTTTCTATTTTTCTCATTTTTCTAATTATCGTTTCAAATATGCTTGTCTCGAGATTCTGAAGAATTAAAAGATCCATTCGATTCAGTAATACACGACACCCTTTCGTCATATTTGATTCAATGACCAAAACATTTTCATCACGATACCTCATCGTCGATAACTTATATTTTTCGGTGTCCAGAAAAATTATTTTCTATATCTTGCATCGAGCATGTTTGAAAATATGTAGCCCATCAATGAAAACATATGTTTTAAAAACTCTGGCGTAAGTTTTACATACCGTGAAGATGTCATTATTTGAACTGTTATGTTGAAGTCATCTGTCACAACTAGTCCTATTGTAATAAAATTTCGAGCATTAAAGTCCAAAACGTATTGAGTTCCATCTATAAGTTCTGCAGGTGACGTTGGTGGAACATATGTATATGTTTTCGTGAATGTAGCTGCGTTGTCGACGATTGAACCGGCCATTATTTAGTATTAAGACACTTGGTGAAAAATGAAAAAAAGACGTGTACTAGTTACGGTGCACGGAGAGTAACTAATTCTAGATAACTCTTTTCAGAGTCTTAATGATTTAATTTTATTACTGTAAGGGGGGGGGGTTATCGAACAGGTCTCAACTGGCATGTATCATGTGCATTATTTTTATTGTAAATATTAGACGATGTTATGACTACGTATAACAATTTTGTTTACATCAGGGTTGTAACTTACCATTCGTCTAGACCAGTGGTGGCCAAACTTTTTTTTCCTCGGACCATAAAAAACTTTTTTTTTATCGCGGGCCATAAAAAAATGCATTCTAAATTTTTTTTACGTAAATGCAAAATATTACAGTTATACAAATAAGTGCTGTAATATAGAAGACTTTCGCGGGCCAGATATTAAATGATGGCGGGCCGCAGTTGGCCCGCGGACCGTAGTTTGGCCACCACTGGTCTAGACAATATCATAATGTTATGACTACGTATAGACTATTCATCTTTTTATCAACATCATCATTTATTCGAAATTATTACGTTAGATTTCAAGGACAAATAAATCTTAACGTATGTACAATATATTTAAACTTCTCATTACTCGCTAAAATTATTTGTTATCAATACATCATACCCTGATAATATTTTTATTTTTTTTTTAATATTATAATTTTACTATATTCGTTACATTTATTACTATCATTTCTATTTATCAACACCATTATATAGAGAAAAAATTTGATAACGATAACGTTGTAGCAGGTAGTGAGAGGGAGGGGGACCAGCAAGGACCAGCTATCTACTGTATACGTTAACGCTGGTCGGGTAACAGGGGGAAGGGGAACCAGCTATATGTTGTATACGTTGTAGCAGATCGGGTAACAGGGGGAGGGGGACCAGTCAGCGGCGGCGGAGGATCAGTGAGTGGCGGTGGCAGCGGGGGGACCAGCAAGGACCAGCAAAGAGAACAATGGATTTCCTTTGTCCCAGGATCGGCAAATATATGCTACTTTTCCTCTATCTCTTTCCACGTTCCTGTACATTACTCTAGAATTCACTCTCTTTACCTTGTCCCTTCTCACCGTTTCAACTACTCTCATAACCATCCTTTACACAGAATGCTCCGTCTGCTCAATAACTTATAGATCATGATATTTTAAATGTATATATCATTTAAGTTAGTTCTTAGTTGTATTATAATGTTATGTTTTTTTTTTCTTTCTATTTGTACTAAATATTTAGTTGATTGCTCTGTACACTACAATGTTTCACCTGTCTTTTCTATAAGATTATTTTATCACTATTATTACTATAATCTTTCTGTATATAACTTGTATTGTAAATCTCTTGAATTGCCGATTGGCGTTAAATAAACAAACAAACAAACAAATAATAACCTCAGTGGGTTTACTTTATGTCAGAGTGTGCTAATTTTTAACCAATCGATTGCAATCGATTTACTAACGATTGCAATCGTTAATACCTACTTCATATTTTAAATCATAATTTTATCACACTATTCACCCAACTACGTATGACGAAACAATTTACTATGTATTTACTCTACTTTGTGTTTTGACTTATACTTATTATGAAAATAAATGTAAAAATATTATTAATGTTGGTATAGTTTTAAATAAAATCATGTTATATAAAAGTGCACTTTACGGAAACTGGAAAAGTATGATAACAAGATCCTCCCAGAAGATATTTGCCCCCTTGACTCCAAATGTACAAAATAGTTATGGTTAGTAATAGTAATAGTTATATCACCTCCTAGAAAAAAAAAGATACGCCACTGTCTGTAATATAGATGTAATGTATATTCGAATATTCGAATATCGGTATTCGATGCTACAATACCTATTATTGTTAAACGTTTTGTGTTGCGTGAAAACGAATAATTTTCACGTATTGTATTTTAGCATCGAATACTGATATTCGAATGATCGCCACGGACGCGTGGTTATCACATAGCAGTCCCCATCGTCGAAAGCGTATATCGAAATACCGCATTACCGCCGTAATCGTGATAATGTTAACCTGTATATATGTAATTAGTATTGTGCATTATTTTATATTTCATATTGTATTATCGATTTACCTATGTTCCTATAATAATGTAATATATGATACGGCTCAAGGGGGGTGTCATATCCACCAAACACCCCCCTTGTATACGGCACTGGTTGTGCCTATGGTGTGGTGTTAACATACACTTTCTTATTGTTCATATGTCAACCGATTATAGCTAATTACAGTGTCATTTTTTTATTGCGGTTAAATTAACCTGTTGCTCCAAGTACGTCTTGGCAATCAATAGTGTTTTCCAAATTAACTGCTGAGATGTTATCGTAATTATTTTTTGTAAATGAATTGAGATTTTTTCTTGAAAAAAAATTAACATAATAGCAGTGGCGTAGCCAAGGGGGAGGCTAAAGGGGCTATAGCCCCCCCCATGGGCCGTGTTTATATGTATAATGTATATTGACTATTTAATAGAATCAATGGATGCTAGTTTTAATCAAAGGCTTATTGATGTTATGCCACTTGAAGGACTTATTCCGGTCAATTTAAATATGTATGACGATAAAAATATTATAAAAGCTGATAAAATATATGTTCAAGTTCTCCATGATGATACCTCATCTACAATCAGAGCTGACCTGTTCATATGGAGTCAAAATATTATTCCAAAACCGAATTCTGCTCTTGATTCACTCTCTCATCGCACCAATCTTCGACCTAACATTAAAATACTTTTACAATTATTCGCCACGTTACCAGTTATCTCTTTCACTCCGGATAGAACGTTTTCAGCACTTAATTGCTTAAAAAATTTTTTAAGAAGCACCATGTCGGAAAACAGACTGAATGGGTTAGCTATGACTAATATAAATAAAAAAGAGCAATTCGATGAAAGTGAAATAATAACTAAATTTGCCAGAAATTCGCCTAAGAGGATGAAGCTGTCAGAGGGGAGTGACTGAACACTGAAACCAAAATTGTTATTATTTTTATAAATTATATATTAATAAATATTTTTAAAACTATACTAAAATGCTTGAATTACGTTTGAAACTTGGTGGTAGATGGTGGGGGGGGGTTATGGGTGAATTCTCATATCCTCTCTTACCTTACTTATCCAAAAAAGTGGTTAGCCCCCCCCCCATTTAAAAATCCTGGCTACGCCACTGCAAAATAGTATAAAAGAAACGGTTCCAGCCAACGGGTTCTTTTAGCGCCATCTAACCCGTTGACCGAATAACGGGTAGCACGTTATCACCACGACAACCGCGGTGGCTACCGTAAACCGTGATAGCGCGTGACTGTGGTAATAACGAATATCAGAAAAATCTCGAAAACTAGTCGAAGAAAACAAACAAAAAGAGTTGTTTGCATCTCGCCGTTGTTTTTCTTGTGTACATGTTGGTCTTCTCCACTCCACCAACCTTTGTTGCCTTTTGATCAAATCTCGCTCACGTGAACGGATTTTCACTGAACCAGGGTTTCGTCAGTCGCGTCTGTTTTCCCGGCAAGGATTGGCTATTCAATCGCCGGCCGGTGCGTTCTTTTCCGGCTATGTCGTTGTGAATATCGCGTTCACCGACGTTGAAGACGACGCGCGTGCCCTCCACAGACCCCCTCACCCGAAGAACAGAAACGTTACATCGCCACCACCGCTGCTGTTATGTGGGACATTTTGGTTTACACGTTTTCCATGCTCATGACCGGATCCTTGTTGTTCCTCATGGTCTATTCTGTATCCTTTTTGTTTTCGTCTACGGATACTTCTAAGTTTTAAACTTTAAATTGGTCATCCGGTTTTAAAGAATGTTACTTTCTGGCTACTGGTTACTGTTTAAAATCAAAGTTCAATAACACAAGCCATTCTAGAATGTTTATTCAGCTAGTACCAAATTGTTACAATTCTTAGAAATAATTACTCATTGTTAATATTGAACATATTCCAGTGAATGCCTTTGTATATTTAAAAAAAATTTTATTTATATTTAAGTATTGTTTTTTTAATCTGGCTTTATCTTCTTTAACAAATATTATTCAGATTATAACACTATCAGACCTTGAATGTGATTATTTAAATGCTCAAGAATGTTGCAACAAGCTGAATTTTGTAAGCATATTCTATTTAATACAGAAATATACAATATTGTTCTTTGAATTAAAGAAATTATTAAAAATGATTAAAAAAGCAAATAATATATTGTTATTTTAATGACTGTTAATATTTTGAGCTTATTCTTATTAATTAATTGTTAATTAGTATAAAATAATATAATGCAGAGTAAATTATAAAAATAAAAAAACTCATTTGATTTTCATATTAATTTTTTATTTTATCCCCTTAATTCTTGTTACTTAATAAATGTTTAATTTAATGAATAAATATCCTATCTCATTTATGATTTTTCTTAACCATTAAATAAAAGTACACCAAAATTTAATATTAAAACTTTTTTGATTAAATATATTATTTTTTTATTCGTAATAAAAATAATAACTGTAAAGATATGAAATTTTCACTGAATGCTGATATCGCAATTATTTTGTTTTTAGCTTTTTATATAAAATTTAAATTTTTATGTTTCTTAGCTTTTTTGAAAAAGGCCAGTTATATAATTTTAGTTTTCAAAAAGTCTTAATAATTTAATACCAAGTTTCTCATACATATCAATTACTGATTAAAGAAAAAAAATTTGAACTTGATATCAAAAAATCAATTTATGAGTATTTTAATATTGAATTTCGATAAAATGATAAAAATCACGAAATCTCGCTACTTTGTTGTATTTATAAATTCATAAGATTTTCAATTTTTATTTAATACTTAAGGCTTTAAATTGGATATAAGATTTTAGTTTTTTGTTAAAATTTAATTTATAACCATAAAAAAAAATTATCTGAAAGTCACAAAAAAAGTTTTATAACCGTTACAAAATGAAATATTTTCTAAATCAGTATTTCGAAAAATTGTCATTAAATTATATTAGTTATTTAGTTAAGGATATTTCATGGCTTAGAAATATTTATGTATATGTCTCTTTTTTCATAGTTTATTTTTCGAGAGTAATAACAAGTAAGTTTCAAATTTAAAAAAACAATACAGCAATATCCAACCTTATTTCTCATCTGACTTATGAGTCTTACTCTATTGTTTAAATACCATGATTTAAGTATATAGGAAATATAAAATAAATTACTAATTTACCAATAAATTTTTATGTTTCTTTATTAAGTGTTAGATGACAAATAAAATAAATTCTAATTTCTATAGTTTAACAGTTATTATATTTAACAATAATGTATCCTCATAATTTATACCATAAAAATTTTTATTTTAAAGTTTGGAATTTTAGTAAATTAGTAGAAAGTAAGAAGATGATGCATTTTTAAATCAGGAATAATATAAAATAATAAATAATTGTTTTGTAGTAATATGTTATTTATGGAAATGTTTTATTTGATTTCAGTGGGTACGACCAAAAATTGTTGCACAAACAATAATTGTAGTAGCATTTTTAACAGACTATAATTGGTGGATGGCATTTATAAATATACCAGCTGCTGTATGGGTAGTATATGAGTAAGCTTTTGATATTCTTTAAAATGTACACAATTATTTTTATTCATTTTTCTTTGATAGATTTGTAACTGTACCCAGAGGAAATACTGGGTTATTTGATCCGACTGAGATCCTCCATCGCGGCCAACTGAAAAAGCATATGCGAAATTTTGTAATATATACTGGATGGTATCTCATTACATTTTTTTTCTATTTATACTTGTAAGTAAAAACTATATAGTGAGAACTGTTTAAAATAATTTTTTTGTAAAACAAATTATTATAATGAACAAACATTATTTTTATTTTAATCTATAATTGTCCAACATATAAAAATATTTATATAGTCTCATATTATAAATTAAATTTGCATTTTTGTTTTCAGATGGTTTTATATGTAAGAAATCAATGAAGGTTAATTAATAAATGTAGTGTGATTATTAAAATGAATTTAATTATAAATTGTGAAACTTAGTGAAGTGTCAGGTGTTTTATGTGATAAGAGAATTATAATAAAGCTAAAAGGTAAATGTTACTTTTAAAGGTGTGTAGTGAGACCAACTATGCTATATGATTCAGAGTGTTGGGCGGTTGAGAATAGAACCGTGTATAAGTGTTGTGGAAATGAGAAAGTTTAGATGGATGAGTAGAGTGACATGGTACAAATATGTGAAAGGTAGTATTGGTGTAGTGTCTATAGTAGACGAGATGAAAGAAAATAGACTGAGAAGGTTTGGGTACAAGATTAGGATGACCACATTAAGAAAATAAAAAAACGGGACAGCTGTTACTTCCCCCTCCCACAAATAAAAAACTTCATACATATGCACACAAATCTCGAGAGTTTAAGTCCAAATCTCTGTCATCATAAACAATTATTTTCTCTTTACTTTTATCTTTTTTAGTAAAATAACCTAAATAATAAAATATTTTCTTTTGATTATTATTAAATTATTAAATTGGTAATTTTATAATTCGTCGGCATCGGGAATTGACGCTCGTTCCATAAAAATTTTATCTGTTATTTCTAACTTTGGTTTTACATTTTAAATATACGAATAAAACTGTTTTATATTTTTTCATACATAGATATTTTATTTACAAGCATTAATAACTTATATAATAAATAATATGGCAATAATGGGATTAAAACGGGACAATCTTCTAAAAACGGGATAAAAATCGTCCCATTCAAAGTTTGTCGGGGCAGCGGAACGTGATGATCAAAAAAAGGGACAATCCCATTTCAAACGGGACGTCTGGTCACCCTATACAAGATGAGATGAGAGGAAACAAATGCAGTAAGAGTTGGAAATGAACATCGAAGGGAAAAAAGGATGAGGAAGCCTAAAAAAAACAGATTGTTAAATATAATTGAGAATGATATGAGGGTCATTGATGTTATTTGTCAACATTTAGTTAATATCAAGGTTTTAAAATATTTCAATACCAAATACTAGTATACTAGTATAGTACACATAAACACGTCCTATATGAGGGGGTATATAGCCCTCTTAGTCTTGCCTTTGGCCACACTACTATATACTATGCTACTATACATTAATTGTGCAGTGATTGATTCTACTACAAACACAAATGCAAAATTTCTTGCATCAAATTTTTCCCTTATTTTCTATGTATTGTTCCGACAGTTTATAAGAGTTTTTATGACAAAATCTATCATAAAACTTAATTATAATTCTGATTGAATTGTTATTATTGAGTAAATGCAAATTTTTTAATTGTAATCGTCTTAATTGTATTTTATGTTTCAGTATGATATTGGCTGTTCTAAAAGGAAATCCCTTAGAGACTGAAGACCCTATACATGTCAATAAATTCTAGTCTTGATTTTTGCACATTCTTACGTTTATACATTGTATACTTATGTAGTGTTGAGTTATTTGTAATTATTTGTAATCATTTAATTGTTCAATACAATTATGTGACCATTGTACAAATCTACAATTTATTTAAACTTTTTTTCTCCTTGTTTAATAATAACATTTATTAATTAGTATCAATTAATATTTTTTGCTTAATGTTATGAGGATAAATCCGAATAGATAGAAATCCTAAAAGATATTGTAATACAGGCATTATGTTTTATTTTTATGTAGATATAGTGAGCTTTTATCAGTGTACGGACTGCTAACATGACACAATTTTGTTCTGTCCAATTTATCCAGATTACCCATGCCATATTCCCAAAAAAAACCAGGAATAAAGTGCAAATTTGAAATTCTATTTTGTTTGAAAAAAATCTGTCAGAAATAGTTGTGACATTTCATAAAGTCTACAAAAAACATACCACAAGTAAGATAGTAACATTTCATTTAAATGTCCAATCATAAGTTGATCAGACTGAAAATGTCTTCAATTTGTGATGCTTTCAGGTTTTCAAATTAACTGGAGTTACAGTACCTGCTATAGACATCTTAACTAGTTAATAGGACTATTATACCTGCAGACAAATTATACCCTAATTCCATATTAATATACATCAGCAAAATGTATCCATTAATCATTTAGTGATTCTCACATATCACAATTGATGACTAAATACTTAGAGCTAAAAAACAAATTTTAAAATTATTTAAACTTTCTTTGGTTGTTTTGTTTATACCACCTCTTGGTTTTTAAACAATGTCATAAAATTGAAGAATTTTATCAGTGAGAAAAAAATAAATAAAAAAGTTAGTGATATTTAAAAATTATTAACCAATCTGAGTTGTGTCATCTCTGAAAGACAAACCTCTTGATGGTAACGCCTTAACCACAGCTACTATACGCTTCAGAATTGTCTTCCAATAATTATTTTCAAATTCCATTAATGTATCAGTTGCTGATCAATTCTTTCTAGAATTATACTTCTTTGTTTCATTATTGAATTATTTATCTGATGTTTGTGGGAATTTTCATGACTAGATAATTTTTTTTCAGTTTGAAAAGCCACAAGTGGCAAATGAAGATTTTCTGCCAAATAAAGCACACGGGTAACAATAAATACAGCCTTTACTTATTGCATACAAAAATAAATTTCTTTTTATAATCTCCATTAATTAAAGTGGACTAGTAAGTATTTCTTACTAAAATATCTGTTGATTATTTTGCTTGTACCTCTATTATTTGCAGTGTATGTTCTCTTTGATTTCAGAAAGTTTGTTTGTAATAAGTCTTGGGAAACACCATTAATTTTAATATAGTCTTTCAATGAATCATTAATATTCCATAAAGCTGGATCCTCCCTAAAAAATTTAATTATGCAACGATTTTTTTACTAAAAAGTCTTTAAAAATTATTTTTATTTTCTTAAGCAATTATAAAAAGTGTTTTGACTGTTTCTAGGTTATTTACTTTTGTTGAATATGGTGGTACCTAACCTAAGTTAATATCCACGTGTTATTATATTTTATACTTATTACGTACCTAATGTCCTCGTTAAACATTTTCGGCTTTGATAAAGTAGAATTTTTTAGTCCATCTTGTTGGGATTTCGTGTGTACACGTTCATTGCTTCTAATTGATTACTTTATGCATTTTAAATTAAAGTTGGGTGAATGTAGAAAGTTCTTTCTTGTCTTATTTTACGGCCGTAGGCATAGATATTAAGAATATAAAATATCTACATTTATACTGCCCTTCTAGTCGCCACAAATTCAGTTTAACCTTGTTTAGTTATGCAGAGAATTGTACGGTCGACCGTTGTTTCATTAAGAACGAAGAACACTAGTTTGGTTTTCATTTAAATTTTAAAATTAAATTTAAATATATGGTCGGGAGACGATAATTATGGATTGATTAATAAGAATGGAATTTTAACGACTGATAAAGTCATATATGAAAAAAAAATGCCTCAATTATTTTTAAAAAATACATGAATCACACAATTATGATCAAAATAATTATTGCTCTTATTAAAAAAAAAAAAATTGCTCTGTAAGTTCATCAAGCATTATTTTCAATATTATTTTCTAATTGGTAGACTAAGGTGTTGCGTGCCAACCGTTTGATCGTATTTCAGTTACTCGTTCATTCTATTCAACGTTTAGATGTAGGTATAAAGTAGAAATAATGAAAACCAGTTGTGATAAAGTAACTTATTGAAACTGTTAAAATTATTTATTCTAAGTGCAATACATTTAATTAGCTATTTAAAGTCTAAGTCTTAATATTTATAAATGTTGAAAAATAGTCTAAGTCCTGACAATTAAACTATAAAAATATTCCTAAATCCTAATATTTGATTTAGCTGTTGAGATTTTAAGTCCGAACCGTAACATACACTAGGGTGAAGGTGCTCAGTGTCGCATAGCCAGAACTCGTCTGATTTGCCCTTGTTTTCGGATCCCTTTTACTCGTATATCCGATATATGTAAGTGTGTGTGTGTATATAAAAATGATAATAAAAATATGATAATCCCTTACTGATTCTGTGTGTGTATGTGTACTATATCTTGACCAGCTCATATTTATTAATGCAAAGATCCAAAATGTGATCACTTTTATCTTGATTTAACTTATCCACGGTTGTGGTTTTAATATTCATAGAACTCCCTTATTATGTAATTGTTATTGTGTGACTACGCGGAACGCGACAAAGGTTAGTTTTAAAATTGTCAGTAATTTATTATTTTATTTAATATTCATTTTATTTTTAAATTTTTGTTGCATTACATAATTTGATTATAAAATATTTCAATTGATAAAACAGTTAAAACCCTACTTTTTTTCTCCAAATCGTTTTTCAAATGCTATGGTACCAGCTAATTAAAATACTGAATGCTTAGTTCTGTTTTCACTGTTATGATTTCATTTAATTATAATAAAAAATATAAATTCTTAAGTATGCAGAAAATGAGGCTATGGAAAGATGGAAATTTTTTTGTGCTAATAAAAATTTATAATTTCAAAATTAAAGCAGGTTAACAATAAATCGATATCGCGAGTTACTTCATGTGTATATTTAAATGTAAGAGTGCGCCACATATTACATAATGTGAATAGTGTACAGTTTAATTTGATTTTAAGGGGCTCCAGTCGATCATATTTTAAGGAAAATAACATAGGCAATTTAACATGACGGTGTAAGTTGGCTAGTTAGTGTGTGGAAAGTAAATGCACATTAGTGTGTGTGAGACTAATCTGAAATCTTGATCAGCGTTATCATCCATTAATTTTATTGATTCAGTAGAAACCGTCCCGACGTCGACACGTCGTACCAAATATCGTAGTCACAAATAATATGAACTGCATAATATATATATATTATATAATACCTATAATTGAATAAACTATAAGCATTATAATAATAATAACATTGATTCTACCATAAATTATTTCTAAGATTTATTCTCGATTTTTAGCTTGTAATTTTTATAAAAGTGTATTCTGTAATCAATGATTATAATTTATAATAATATAATGTACGTCATATGCAAAATTTTGACGTATATTACCATATAATAATCAATTATTCGTTGTACGAAAATGTGTTAAAATGAAATACGTTTCATTATATTATGTTACGAGGATGTTTAAAACTATAATGAAAGATATTGGTTGAAAATGATTGCAATCCAAATATGAACACTGCGTTGACATTTTTAAAATTATATTTAAATCCAAGTATATATATATTAATAAATACTAATATAATTATATAATTTATACAATTTATACTTCAGTTACATATTATATTAATATTAGATAGTAGATACTAGTTGCCTATTACCATACCATTAATCCCGTAAACTAAGGTTTCTGTCCATTCTTGAGTCAATTAACTCTGGCAACATCGCTTCAAAATAAAATTTTTCCAATGATGGTTTCATTTTTGTGTTGAAAAATGTTTCATCTTTAAAAATTTTTTGATAAAGTATACCTGTAAAAGATGTAAACAAAATATAAAGAAAAATTTAACAATACATTTAAATATTGTGTATTACCTTTAGGTGACCATATTATAAAATAACAAAATAATCGTTGAGTTATTTTTAATTGGCCCATGACTTGAAAATAATAGTTGTAACTTTGTTTTAATTGCAAATTTCCTTGGCTGTCTAGAGTTGCAAATTTTAATTTCCTAGATTCTATAGCTTCTTTTGGAGTTAATTCTTTTATTGTTGAGGGACATTTTATTTCAATTATACCATTATTATCTATAAGTCCATAAGGACTTGCTGCGCTAAAAACGGTAGATGTTCACATATGAAAAGTCCAGATTCTTAAATTTTAAATCCTGTTGATTGTTCAAATTTTGCCTTTGCAAACGGTTCGCACTCAATACCATATCTCGTATGCTCATTACCACAAAAGGTTTTATACAATATTGATATAACTGTATTGGCTCTAGAAGTCGATGGTCGAAGTTTACAAATTTTTTCAAAATTCGATGTGGTTAATCTAATTTTTCTTTCTTTGTGCCATAATTCGCATTCCGATTGAAGTGTAGTCGATTTTTCTATAAATTTAATTTCATCGATATTTTTAATTATTTTATTGTTCATTTATTTCAATTTCTTTTTTTCGTAATCATTTCCATCCATATCTAGTTCTTCACACATATTTTCTTCGCATTTTCCATAGTCATCATCTGGTAAGTTATATTTAGTAACTCGTCTACTTCTTGGTACAAATAAAAGTTTTCTTTTCATTTTACATATTTTTTTCTTCTGTTTTGCACTTATAAAACGCTTCGTAAAATCACCAGGACTAATATTGCAAATCTTTTTATGCAAAATGCTAATACATTTTGGTTCTGTATTATAAGATAACACTGCAGCTGTACATCGCGCTTGATATGACCCTTTATGAGAAAAATGTATTCTTTCGCCACCTACAAATTTAGCAACAATACTATTGTAACCTTCGACCGAATTATTGTTGACATTATATATTAAACTTGAGGCATGATGAGCTAATAAATTTCTCGCATATAAAATATCTGTCCAAAGCCCAGATTTTTC